AGGAGGAGGAGGAGGAGGAGGAGGAGGAGGAGGAGGAGATGATTGGATTTATACCCCGCCCTTCACTACCCAAAGGTGTCTCAGAGCGGCTTACAAACTCTTTTCCCTTCCCCTCCCCACAACAGACACCCTGTGAGATAGGTGGGGCTGAGAGAGCGCTGACAGAAACTGCTCTTTCAGGAACAGCTGTGACAGAGCTTGTGACTGACCCAAGGTCACATCAGCAAGTGCAAGTGGAGGAGTGGGGAATCAAACCCGGTTCTCCCAGATTAGAGTCCACGCACTTAACCACTACACCAAACTGGCATATGTATATGCTGATTTATTATACATGATATGTATACACATAGATGATATACATTGTGTGTATAGAAACCATATTTGCTGAGTATAAAAGCTTGTACGACTTGTGTCCACAACAGGAATCCACAAAATCAACAGTGAAGAATAGACAGTTGAAAACACTGACAAAAAATAAAATGTAAATAAATGAAACAAGGAACATTCACTCGTCCATGCTTGGAAGTGACTGAGAATATATATATTCTAATGTTTGAGTATGTAAAAACGTGTCTCCAATTTTAATTCTCACACCAAAACACTGCATCAGATATCATTGCTCCAAGCAGTAACCACTGCTAATCAATTAAAAAGCTGTGTCTAAATCTGCAACTGGTGATAGGAACACTAGGAAATGTATAACTTATCTTGACTAAAAATTATTTAGGGTAACTGGCAAGATCCTACTTGCCTACACAATCATACCCATGTCTAGTGAAGATAAGGGGGGAGGGGGATATCCAGATAGTCACAGGAATATATTTGGTGAAATTGTTTAGTGAAAGTGGTTAATATGGAAGACACAGGGAATCCCTAACTAGCATATATGAAAGAGTAAGGAAATCGAGATGAGCCAGAATGATCTCAGGGGTTAAGGTGCAAAGGTTTTTTTGCTGATTAAAAACTCTCACATACATTCTGAGTTGGATGCAGGTTGTAACATAGTTCACACTGAAGATATGTCTAATGCACTGTCTATGGGCCATTTATGGGCCATTTTGACCCACTTACTATAATGAATGTTGACAGGATCTTGTGATCTATAAAAATCCACCACTTGTGCTCTGGATCCTTGCCCACCTTTGCGCCTGAGATCGTGTAAGGATATTGGTATCTTCCCTCACCAACTCAAAGAAGCAGTTATCCACTCACTACTTTAAAAAACCTGCCCCTATAGAAAAATGATGTGGCCAATTATTGACTGTCTCTGATTTGCCCTTTCTGGGCAGGATGACTAAGAAAGCTGTGGCAGACCAGCTCCAGATGTATTTCGCTAACTCATCTGATATGGAGTCTGGTTTCAAGGATGGAGACAATGTGGTAGCCTTAGTTGATGATCTCTGTCTAAATGTAGACAAAGGCCATGCCTCTTTCTTGCTCCTACTAGATTTATCTGCAGCCTTTGATACAGTGGAGTGTGCAATCTTATTGAGATGTTTGGAGACAGACATGGGTATGAGAGGCTGTCCTTTGAACTAGGTTAAATCGTTCCTCAAATAATTGCTATCAGAGATAGGGATGCACAAAAATAATAATTGGGAGGGGGTTTCAGGTATATTGGACCTGAAAAATATTGGTATTCTGGATATTCCCAAATTCCAAATACCAGTATGGTATTCGGATTAGGGTTTTTTTTTCAGGTTTCCAAATTATACAGGTCCATTATTCAGTATGGGGAATGGCTGGGGGAGTTGTTTTTAAAGGTGTGGTTATATTTAAAGCTTGCTGTGTGGGTGGAGGAGTTGTTTTTAGCGGTACAGGTACCAAAATGCAGCAGAGCTCTTGATGCCTGTCCTTTAAATAACTCCTGAGTGGTCCAATTCTATGGGTCCCTGAACAGGGTGCCCCCAGCCATTCTCCATTATTTCCTAGGAAGGGGGGGGGAAGCAAAAGCAAAAAGACCTTGCAAGCTGATTCCAGAGTAAAACGTCATAGCTGCAAGTATCAATCACTGAGAACAAAGAGTAAGTCCAACAGAACCATTGCAGAGCTCAGTAATCCCAGCAGAACCACAAGCCAATGTACCAAGCCAAATAGAACGAAAATCAAACCAGAGAATCTCTGCAGTGGAAACTGAAGGGGGCATTTTTCAAGCCCAGCACAACTAGTTGCAATGTACAGGATGCCCAGCAGAACCTAGTGCTGCTGCAGCAATGCAAGCTTAACACGACTGATGTCAAAACACAGAACCACAATAAACCCAAGCTGGGGGGGGGGGGGATTTTGCAAACCCAGCACAAGTTGCAATGTACAGAATGCCCAGCAGAACCCAGTGCCACTGTGGCAATGCAAGCAAAAGATTTCTAATGTCAAATCAGAGAGTCTTTGCAGTAAAAACTGCAGATGGGGGGGGCAGTTTTGCAAGCCCAGCACAACCAGTTGCAGTGCACAGAAAGCCAAGCTGAACCCAGAGCCATTGTGCAATTCAAGTTTACCAGGACTGATGCCAAGCCTCAAAGTATGGAATCACAACAAACACAAGCTGGGGGGGGGGGATTTTGCAAGCTTAGTACAACCAGTTGCAGTGTACAGAATGCCCAGCAGAACCCAGTGCCACTGTGGCATTTCAAGTTTAACAGGACTGATGCCAAGCTTCAAAACATGGAATCAGAACAAATTCAAGCAAGGGAGGATTTTGCAACCTCTGTTCAAGAAAATGGTAAGGGAACACAAAGGAACTCCAACAGAGGAGGGGTGGGACACCTGACAAGGCTCATTCGAATTTGACAAAAACAGCGGGAATCTCATACAAAACATCCAGATAGGGGAAAAAGAAACCAAAAAACAGTGCCAGGGAGACCACAAAACCTGGCTACCAATCTTCCCGGTAATTGCTAAATATTTATGGGATTTGGGGGGGACAGTTTTTTCAGTTTTCTGAAAATATCTCAGATATATTTGGAATGCCAAACATACCCCCAAAACACCAATAAGGTATTTTGCAAGTATATTTCCATCTTGAATGTATCTGAATGCAGAACCCTAATCAGAGACCAGTTGTCCTCAGTATGGGACTTATCTTGTGGGATTCTGCAAGGTGCAGTGTTATCTCCTCTACTATTCAACCTGTATGCTAAAGCCTGTAGGAAACATCATTCATAGCTTTGGAATCAGGTATCAATATGGAGGAGGAGAGGAGGAGGAGATTGGATTTATACTCTACCCTTCACCTGGAGTCTCAGAGCAGCTTACAAACTCCTTCCCCTTCCCCTTCCCACAACAAAGACCTGTGAGGTTGTTGGGGCTGAGAGAGCTATCTCAAGCACTGCTCTTTCAAGAACAGCTCTGACAGAACAATGGCTTGCCCAAGGTCATCCAGCAGCTGCAAGTGGAGGAGTGGGGAATCAAACCCAGTTCTCCCAGAGTAGGGTCTGCACACATAACCACTACACCAAACCCGGCTCAATATCTCTCTATCCACATCTCCTGGCATTGCAATAGTGTCTTGAATCACCGCCTGACTGCTATAGTTAACTCAGCCCTGGAGTTAAGAATATTTTCATCAGGGGGCATTTAGTGTCCGTAGGGCGCAGTGGCTAATTAAATTAAAGAGGCAGAACATTTTTTTCCCAGGTTGTTGGCAACCCTTCTTAGTATAATACGCCAATAATTTTGTTCCAATTTGGTCTAGGATGAGAAGTTACAGGTGGGAATGTGTTTGCCACTGAAAACAACACAGACATTTTCCAAATACAGTAAAGATTCCAAGCATGTAATGCAATAATATTAAAGAAGTAAAACAAAAAAAAATCAATGGAAAATGATCGTTTAACCCAAACAAAATTTCTGTATGCATCCCACGCTTCCTTACTTGCCAGTTTGTTGCTCCTAGCTCCGATGGGGTTTTTGGAAGAGTCACAGGGAAATTTATAAATGGCCATTCAAGCGGAGTAACCTGTCAAAAATGACAAAGAGCCATATTGATCAACAAGTAGTTTAAAATATAATCTGACCAATCAGCTTTGAGTGATACAGATAGCATAGCTTGAAAGAGCTAGATATTGATCATGCAATATAACCCCCCAAAAGTTATATCTGAATAAACAGCGATGAAAAGTCTTTCCTCAGAAGTAAATCCAGTGAAAATCAATGAAACTTATTTCCAAATTTAGGATAGAAGCATTCTGTTCTGAAATCACACTGAGTCTTCCACACGTAAATGCTGTCAAGTCACAGTCAAATTATGACAAAGAAGAATAGGAGATTGGATTTATACCCCACCCTTCACTACCCGAAAGAGTCTCAAAGTGGTTTACAATTCCTTTCCCTTCCCCTGCCCACAACAGACACCCTGTGAGGTAGGTGGGGCTGAGAGAGTTCTCTGGAGAACTGCCCTTGAGAGAACAGCTCCTAAAGAACTTAGAACTGCCCCAAGGTCACACCAGCAGCTGCATGTGGAGGAGTGGGGAATCAAACCTGGTTCTCCCAGATTAGAGTCCGTGCTCTTAACCACTATACCAAACTGACAACCCCAGCAAGCAGCTTTCAAGGCAAGAAAGAAACAGAAGTGGTTTGTCATTGCCTTACGCTACAGGGTCTTCCTGACAGTCCCCTATGCAAGTCCTGACCCTGCTTAGCTTCCAAGAACTAATGAAATTGGGCTATACTGTGCCATCTTTCCTCCCCAGCGAGTACTGGCACCATAGAATTAGCATGGACTTTCAGTGTCCTTCAGCTCGAGCTATCCAGTTCTGAAATCTACCGGCCCCATCCATCTGCTGTTGTACAATGTGCTCTACAGATCACCATTATTATTTTCAGAACAGAGGGGGACATACCTGGGATTCCTTACTTTGGTTGTGCGTGAAGCACACCTCTTGCCACAGAATCCACCAATGACTCTGAAAACCTATTTCTGGGTTTGTGAATGGGCCGTTAAAAGAATGGCATCTCACTCCTGAAAGGAACCCTGGCCAACCTAAGTTGTAACCAATGTTCCCTCTAAGCTGAGTTGGTGTGAGCTAGCTCACAGTTTTTTAGCCTCCGGTTCACACATTTTTGTCTTTGCTCAGGATGGATGGCTCCAGAGCAAACTACTTTATGCAGTAGCCAAATCACTTGCTCACCATTTTAACACCAGTAGCTCACAGAGTAGGATTTTGACTCACAGGACTCCACAGCTTAGAGGGAGCATTGGTTGTAACCCATTGAAGCAGCTCCAACTCCCCAATCAATGTCAGTGGACCATTTCCAGAGTGTAGTGGATGCTACAGCATTAGATGCATTAACACAAGGCGGCAGAGAAATAGGGAAGTGGTTCTGGATGGATCCATCTGACGATCATTTTGATCAAAGGAACCTTATGTCTTCTGCACACTCCATTTAAAACCATGCATAAAAGCAGCAGTAAGGAAAGAATTACCTTCATGTACTGAGCCCCATTTTCTGGTATGGAACCTGACAGCAGATGGGTATGTAATCAACCATGACACAGCAGCAGAACCTCCATTTGCAAAAGTGCCCAGGTGCTGCCATCCCCCCACAAATGGAACCACTGTGTCAGATTTGCCTAGTAGCACAGCTCTCATTCTCCACTTGGACTGGGGATTGTGAACTCTTGTCTTCCCGCCTACCCGCAGTGCCTTGTTTAATGGACCTAGGTGGAAGAGTTCTCCTTCACAAAACAGGCTTCCTGCCAATTGAAGGCTGACAGTCGGCACTGATATCTGATTTCCCTCTGCCCTATCTCAATAGTAATGCCAGCCCCTGTAGCAAGAAGCTTCACAGGGATGGCGTATTCCACAGGGGCATTCTTTGTGCAACTTACCTCATTTGGAAGCTGGTTTGTTAAGGCAGTCTGATCTGGGACCAGCTTTGCTGGAGGGAGTCCATACCCGGGATTTGACCTTTGCTACCATCAGAAAACAATCCATAATTAATAATGAAACAGTGCAATCTTTTTGAAAGAAAACTGCACTATGATGGTTATGGAATCACAGAATCATAGAGTTGGAAGGGACCACCAGGGTCATCTGTCCTAGATCCACTTCAGTCCGGCTTTCGCCCTGGTTACTGGACGGAGACGGCGTTGGTCGCCCTTACTGACGACCTCCGGAGGCATCTGGATCGAGGGGGTGTGGCGGCGCTGGTGTTGTTAGATCTGTCGGCTGCGTTCGACACGGTCGACCACCAGTTGCTGACCCACCGCCTAGCCGACGTGGGGATTCAGGGACTCGCCCTTCAATGGCTTGCCTCTTTTCTCCAAGGTCGGGGACAGAGAGTGGAAATCGGGGAACAGCAGTCCCAGAGGCACCCACTTGAATGTGGTGTCCCTCAGGGGGCAGTGCTTTCCCCGATGCTTTTCAACATCTATATGCGCCCTCTCGCCCAGATTGCCAGGAGGCATGGGCTGGGCTGTCATCAGTATGCAGATGACACCCAGCTCTATCTGATGTTGGGTGGCCGGTCGGGCTCCGACCCGCAAGATCTTCAACAGGGACTACAGGCTGTGGCTGAGTGGCTCAGGCTGAGCCGGTTGAAATTAAACCCAGCGAAGACGGAGGTCCTGGGCCTGAATCGGAACGGTCTGGGGTTAGGGCTCCCTCTCCTGACCTTCGATGGGGTACCTTTGGTGCCTGCATCGGAGGTTAGGAGTTTGGGAGTGCTCCTGGACTCCTCCTTAACAATGGAGGCCCAGGTAGCAGCCACTGCCAGGTCTGCATTTTACCATCTAAGGCAGGCTCGGCAGTCTCCACATTTGTTTTCAAGCTAACCTGATAGTGACTCTTTGCTTCTTGAGACTCTTAAGGACTCTTAAGGCGGGGTCCGACCTACCTAAGGGACCGCCTTTCCCCGTATACACCCCCAAGAGCACTTAGGTCGGGGACCCAGAGTCGCTTAGTGGTTCCGGGCCCCCGAGAGATACGCTATGCCGCGACAAGGGCAAGATCCTTCTCAGTGGCGGCCCCTACCTGGTGGAATGAGCTCCCGGAGGAGATCAGGGCCCTGTGGGATCTTTTGCAATTCCGCAGGGCCTGCAAGACGGAGCTCTTCCACCAGGCTTTTATGTAGGGGCCGCCGCTTCCACCATCACCAACGAGGGAAAGACCATCAAGTTGGAGTGCCCTTGATAGCCCGGCGCCATCTATATGACAGCAAGACCAGCCGTTTAGCTTGGACTAATATTACCAGGATGATTTCATCATGATTAAAGTCTGCAGGGGCAATTCCCTGCAGGTGCTAACTGCAGACCATCTTGAAATTTAAAGCACTTTATTATTATTAATAGTATGTTGGTTGTGATTTGTGATTTTATCGGATTTTATAAATTTTATGTATGGGCTTATGCCTTTGTAAGCCGCCCTGAGCCCGCTCGCGGGGTAGGGCGGGGTAGAAATACCTGAATAAATAAATAAAATAAATCTAGTCCAACCCCCTGCACAATGCAGGAAATTCACAAGTACCTCCCCCTCCACACCCACAGTGACCCCTGTTCTATGCCCAGAAGATGACAAAAAGACTCCAGGATCCCTGGCCAAACTGGCCTGGAGAAAAATTGCTTCCTGACCCCAAAGTGGCAATCAGCATTTCCCTGGGTGTGTAAGAAAAGGCCACAAGAACTAAGCACTGAGGCAACCCTTCAAAATCTTGTTACTGTTCCCAACACTTCCTGATTTCATTCATAAAAAAGACAGACAGACAGATTGAGGTTGTGGTGTTCAAGCCTCCAAAATGGAACAGGGCAAAAGGTTCCTGTTTTTCCTCCTCTTATGCTCGAGTGCCCCTTTTTGTGTAACTCCTTTTCCTTCCCTTGCAATTCTTCCAGTGTTTTCCCCAAGCAATCGACATTTCAAATTCAGTAGCAAATTAACCTAGCTCCAAGCTGGTGGACAGGAATACAGAACCGAATCATTATCTTTTCTGCAGCAAACGATCAAAAATTCTTGAGGCACCACAGTTAGCTGTGCCTGACCTGACTTTTCTTGACAAAATTAAACTCCAGCAATGTTTTTGAAAAGGGTATTGGCAGTACCTGTGTTTGCTGTGGATTGTTTCCCGTGGCTCTGTACCTTTGCAGCAGTCGGAATACCTGATAAATTGAATGGTAGATAGCTTTATGCAATATGTAACATATTTGAATTCTTCATCGTAACAGAAGCAACATGAACTATCTGCATTCTACAGTGTACAATTTGCATGCAAAGTTTTCCTTGTAATATGGCTGTGTTTTTTTCATAAACACACAACAAAAATTTAGATTGTCTGTTCGCCAGCACTAAAGCAAAACTAACACTTTGACTAAAGTAGTGATCCCCAATATGGCAGCACCTGCTGGTGGATGTCCAGTTGCTCATTTGCTTCTTTGAGGAAGCATCCCTTCCCTCAAAGCAAAGACCCAGACCTGAATCTCCTACCCTCACTGGAGCAGGACAGGAAGAACTTCAAGAGAATTCGAGGGAGGCCTTTGCATCCGCAGACAGCCCCAGTTCAGAAACTACTGGATGGGTTTGAAACCTTCCGACATTTTGTGATTGGACCCAGTGCCAGATGGCAGTCACTCTGTGGTGGCAATTGTTCCCCATGCTTCAAAAATACCACAGGCTCCAGCGGAGTAGGGACCCTTGGACTTTTAGGAAACAAGTTTATTAAAAAGCAAGGCATGAACATCAATGGCATTGCAACGCCATCAACAATCATTACCGTGCACAGTATTAATCACTAATTAGTACGTTTGAGTAGAAATGAAATATTTGCAGTAACTGCAATAATCCTGGGTATTCTGCAAAGCATTTTGCTATATATCCCTTTTGGCTGTGCATAGTGGACCGCTTTAAATCCTAGTGCACCAGTGAGAACAAAGTGCTTAACTCAACACAAGTCATGCCTGCCCCCGACCTGGCCTCAGAAGCAGGGCTTGACAGCCAGGGACAGGAGGACTTGGCTCCTTTAACAGAAGAAACTGTAAGTCCTGAGGAGGATACCACTCAGCAAGAGCCACCTGAGGTCGATCAGGTACTGCCGAGCACAAGTGCATCACCACCAGACTCTCCTCCACCTGTCAACAGGCTCCGAAACCAAAGGCGTCAGGAGCTGAATGAGAGGCGAAAGGCTGCACACATGCGTGGTCGACGCTCGCTCAGCCCTGAGTTTTGACAGCAGCCTGGACATTGTTTCGGGGAGCTAATGAGATAATGAGCCAGCAAGCTATTTCAGCAGACCTGTTGCCTTGAGCAAACCGTGCTGGCAACGTTGATGTCAGGACCAGACACTCTGGGTGACCTTGTTTCAGATCTTACGGATTCTTCGGTTTCAACTCGGTTGGTGTTTTTGACTTTCGGCATCTGTTTATCTGCTCCTGATTTATGGCGAACTGACCCTTGGCGTTTCCCTGACTATGGCTTCAGCTCTGCACTTATCGGACTCAGCGAGATTTATAGACTATGAATCTTGGTATGTTTTGACTGCGGCTGTGTTAAACTGTTTGGGACTTGTTTGAAAGGCTTTTCTGACTGAACTCTCGGCTGACCCCTGGACTGGCTCTCAGACCTGCTTTGCTAACTGTTGCTCACTGGACCTGACCGTGACAACACAACACTTATTTCTTGCCCTCTTACCCATTCCCTGAAGGAAGAGAGGGGCATGACGTGCCCTATGGCATCAAGTGGATCTTAAGAGAGAACAACCAGCGCAGGAGGAGGAGTGGCAAAAGAGTAAGATTGGATCCAACCATCCTCCAAGGAGCCTCCCTCCAACAAGAAGCTCTTCTTCCAACAGAGCAGCCACTTAAGCCAAAGGGACCGGACCCTCCTTAAGCTAGAGGAAGTTTTCCGACTCTGCTCCATGGAATGGTAGGATAGTGGTAGGAACCAGCTCTTTGCAGCACAAAGATCAGGCCTCTTCTGGGCAGGCCCCACTGAACTTTGGGTACTTTTGCAAATCATTTCAACAAGGCTTATGCAAGACTTCCGGGCAAACAGCACACCTAAATTAATCCAGGGGTGACATTTGGGTTTGCGGCCCAGGACACCAAAATGGCTTGGGTCGTCCTTAGCCCTTTTCCTGCCACATACTTCATCATTCAAGGTTTGCTATGTACAAGAAGCATGGGCAACTTCATCATGCTCTATTCCTTCTTTACCCAGCAGTTTGGATGATAAACTGGGGGACACTGGTTGAGAGACACTCAAGCCATCTTTTGCATTCCGGAATGCATTTGAAGGGCATGCTGTACGACGGTACCAGAGACCCTCCCAGAATACCAAGCTGTTTCAACTCATTGTCTGGCAAGCACCAGTGGATGGGCAGTACAGGGGGCCAACACTGGGAAAAGTTTGTTTATTTAATTTATACCCTGCGCTACCCCAAGCTCAGGGCAGCTCACAACATAAAATCAGCAAACAATAAAAAAAAAACAGTAAATAGCAATAGTAGGTAAAATTGAACCCATGCTCCATAATGTAGTTATCCCCTCCCAATTCTTTTCAGTGCCCACGTAGTACCCAGGGCACTGGGAAAGGGTCATGAACAATGCCAAGGACAGGGCGGGGGGGCAGAATAGTTGAACGCCTGCCACCTCAACAGGAAGGTGGAACAGCAAGCCCTGTGGAACTGTAACAGGTCCCGCAGGGCTCTGATCTCAAATGGGAACAGAGACAATGCCAACAGGATCCATAGCCTAGATACTAGATACTGTTTTTCACATGGATCAGGGAAGTGGAGGGACCAAGACTGTTCCCCACCCTAACCAGCTTTCATCTTGATAGATCATTTATCTAGATAATAAAGTGACCCATAAAATGAAGCAAATATTTTTTTTAAAAAAAGCTTTTCTAACAACAAAGGGCACAGGCAACCTCACGTGGCTTACCTCTTTGCTGTTGCTTGCAGCGATGGCTCTACTCAGTTGGTTTATCTGAGGGAGGGAGGGAATTCCAGATGTAGTACATCAAAATAGATTTGAGCATCATTTTATTTGTTGTTAGTCACTCAAAATTTATAATCTTACAGTCTAAAGGTAAAGGTTCCCTTGCTCGAAAGCCAGTCGAGTCCGACTCTCCGTTTCAAAGCCGAAGAGCCAGCACTGTCCAAAGACGTTTCCGTGGTCTTGTGGCCGGCATGACTAAACACCAAGGCGCACGGAACGCTGTTACCTTCCCACTGAAGTGGTACCTATTTATCTACTTGCAATTTCTTGCTTTCGAACTGCCAGGTTGGCAGGAGCTGGAACTAGAGACGGGAGCTCACTCCGTCATGCGGCAACTCGAGTCTCGAACTGCTGAACTAAAGAGGTTCTCCCAGATTAGAGTCCGCGCACTTAACCACTTAACCACTACACCAAACTGACCTCCCACAGCCTGCAGTTCAGCGTCTTAACCACTTGAGCCACCACAGCTCCTAATCTTACAGTCTAGTCATAATAAAAAGAATACTGACTCATGAACACATACGATGCGGGTGTATCCTCTTTGTTGCTGTGAGAGCGCAACACCCTGAAACATGGTTTCAGATCAGGATAGCAACGCCATAACAATCCTTAATGCCCAGTCTCAAATGTACCGTTCTTGAGCAAGTGGTGGCTGGGCAGCTTCAGGGATTCCTGAATGAAGGGGATTGTTTGGATCCATTCAAGTCTGGTTTCAGGCCTGGTTGTGGGTTGCCCTGGTAGATGACCTGCACTGGGAGATGGACAAGGGGAGTGTGACCCTTCTAATTCTCCTGGACCTCTCAGTCATGGTATTCTTCTGAACTGCCTTTTGGGTTTGGGATTGAGGGGCTAGGGAGGTGGCAACTCAAGAAAGGGCATTCTCTGTAGTGGCACAG